TGAACTAGATATCCTTTCTTTTCTGTGGGTGTGTAGTCGTGGCTTTTTTTTCTCTCCTTCATTTTTGATATGCTCAACAAAAGGTTCGGTGTACTGAATGATATCCCAGAGTAGAGACCCTCTAAATGGAATGTAAACGAGACTACTAGCATCTTTAAATTAAGGGCTTTGATCCAGTGATGACACACAAATGAAACTAAAGATGGATTTAGGACTGTTCTCCTTGTGCAGCACCCTTGTGCAACACCTTGCACTTTCCTCCTTGTATATCATACCGCCCGGAATTGGTTGCATAGTAGATTGTGCAAGTGGAGACATAAGTGGGGGTGCAATGAGTATGACCTAGGGTAAGTGGCTGTCACAGTTTTTCCCTTGTGTTTCTGCTACCACAAGAACTTCAGCACTGGACTCAGCTTCTGGTATCCTGATCCATCCGAATAGCTGGACTGTTCCTGTAATTGACACTGTTTTCATCTAGGCTGGCAGAGGTTAGCAATCTGGGGTCAGAAATCAGAAAACCCCAAAACCCATCACCAAGCACAATTAATCATTGCTTTTTACTGTTTTGTCATTAGGCCATAACAAAATCACGAGACAATAACAGTTTCGTAAAAAAAAAATAATCACAAGATAGTAGTGATTAAATGAAAACGACATACAAATCCACACAGTGCAGGATTTCTTAAAAGGATCTTTGTCTTATTTTCATGTGCTTAGGCTAGAGTAATTTCGAGTTGATTGCACATCAGTCACTTTCCCCACAAGTGTACTGTAGACTGAAAGCATTACTGAATGCTTTGTAAGTTACTGAAGTATTTTTAGAGTCACTGACTATGTTTCTTCCGTTAATACTGCTTATATAAAAGTCTTAAAACAACCAGTGCCTTTTTTTTTGTCAAGCTAAAGCTTCATGAAGTGCTACTTCAAGTATGGGCATACACCATCAGTATGCTCCATTTGAGCATCTTCAGATGGATGTTTCTACACCTCACACTCTGGGGAAACCAGCTGTTGAAGCCCAGGGAGTTTTTGTGTGTTTGCAGCAAGTGTTGCATAATGAGAAACATGGGGCAGCAATGGAGTCTTTGCATTGCAAGGTAAATTTTGAAAAGAAGGCAGCTCTTGCACCCATACACTGTGTGTATGTAAAGTGCCATCATGTCGCGGCTGACTTATGGCGACCCTGCACGTTTTTCAAGGCAAGAGATCTTCAGAGGTGGCTTGCCATTGCCTGCCTCTGCAAAGCAAACCTGGACTTCTTGGTTGTCTTTCCAAATTCTAGCCAAAGCTGACCCAGCTTAGTTTCTGAGATCTGACGACATCAAGCTGCCCTGGACCATCCAGGTCATGACACCCATACACTACACTCCTTTTTAAAATTGGGGAATGTCCAAATTTTGATTCTCTGTTATTGCCAAGGCAAAAGCACCCACTTGTCACTCTGTCCTTTTCTACAAAACCCATATTAATCTGATATCCTAGGCCCATTTGAAAGGAAAAGCCCATTTGTCATGTGTTTGTGCTGAATAAGCCACTGAGAATGAGTTATTTCCCAAATTTCCAGTCAAATGATCGATTCATTGAAAAGCTATCAAATGGTAATGGTCAAACTTGAAATACGTGGCCTGTGGGAAGAATGTGCAACATTCCAAACGCCTTGGGTCATGGAGTCTGCCATTATTTTATAGCTGATTTGAAGATGTTCGTATATTTGTGTACATTGGCATTAGACTTGTTTTTTTTAGTATTCTCTGGAAACACAGAACATAATGTTATATGGTCTTGGGGTTGTGCTAATTTTAATGTGTGTGAGAATGGTTGTGCATTTAGCTTGCTTTTTGGTACAGTGAGATGGTAGCTACCCAATAAAATCAATGTTAAAATTGTGGTAAAAGTCATGTACTTGTTTCAAATTAAGTAGATTGTGGTATCTGTTAATAAACATTTAAACAGTAGTATTTAGCTAATTTTTAGCATTAGTCACAGTGAAATAATCCTTGAAGTGCACATTTGTTCTCTGGTTCTGGTGATAGGTCAACATGATGGACCTCTGCCCCGGCAGCATGCTGGGTTGTTACCTGAATCCTTGATTTGGGCTTATATTGTGCAGCTCAGCTCTGCATTGCGGACCATTCATACAGCAGGATTGGCCTGTCGAGTAATGGACCCCACAAAGATTCTGGTAACTGGGAAAACAAGGTAACAAACCTTCCTTTGCTATTATGTTGTTTACAGCGAGGGCATATGTATGCCAACAGAGAATGCTAGCATTTTTTTCCCAGATTAGGCCTAAGGTCAGTGCATGTGAGCTTTTTAGTTTGCTGATTAACTATTAAGGGGGATTAGGAGGGGTCTGCAGGGATGCCTTGCGCTGTTCCCACTGTGGGTGATTTCTTCCTGCCCCTATTATTACATTGGACCAGTGGTAAGTGGGGTCTAGATTATATCAATCCTGAATTCTCCATAGAAGCTAAACTGAGACTATGGTACTTTGGTCACATAATGAGAACACGACTCACTGGACGATACAATAACGCTAGGGAAAGTTGAAGGCCATAGGAAAAGAAGACAACACAACATGAGGTGAATTGATTCAATAAAGGAAGCCCCAGCCTTCAGTTTGCAAGGCCTGAGCTAGTCCGTCAATGATAGGGCGTTTTTGGAGGTCATTAATTCATAGGCTCACCATAGGTGGGAAGCAACTTGACAGCACATAACACACACAATGGTAAGCTGTAAGCAGATGGTAGGGAGAGAATTGGCGCGCACAGAAGCAGATGTGAGGGAGCACATGATCTTTATCATTGACCTTAATTAATGGCAAAGCTAGTATTGCAGTCGAGCAGAAGGAATAGATAAGGCAAACCTATTTTGTTTTGATACTTGATTCCGGATGCCCTGTAGTCTTGGCCTCTGTTTGTATTCCTACAGAATTCAGTGTGTTTTTCTACCAAGTTGGCTCATGGCTCAGTGGTAAAACATCTGTTTTGCATGCAGCAGGTTTCAGATCTAATCCTCAGCATCTCCAGTTAAAAGGGTCAGGTAGTAAGACCCTGGAGAAGTGCTGTTAGTCTGGCTCAGTATAAGGCAGCTGCATGTGTGCTCATGTGGGCAGCCTTAACTTAGTCAGGGAGTGCCAAGCTGAGCTTCTGAAGCTGTGTTGATTTCTTAGTATATCTTCATAAGCAGCATGTGTAGCATGGAGAATGTATGCAGGCTAACAACAAAAATGGAATTTTGTACATTACTCAGGCAGAATATATGAATGAGTTCTCAAATATCACTTGGAGTCTATGCATGTTGAGTGGACAATGCATAAAACTCCCCTGTTCAGTTACATGCTTCATATGAATGCATACAGTTGTTTATGTCAGTATCTGTTCTTTTCTCAACTTTTATTGGTCACAGTGTGTGTATGTACACTCCAGATAAATGATTGCCAGCAATATTAATATTATTGATGACAGAGGTCTTGAAATGGTTTTGTGATCAAGACTGTAAAAATCACAGTTAATCTAACAGGAAAGCCAAAGAATTTTTAATTTTTTTCAAGGTTGCGAGTAAATTGTGTTGGAGTCTTTGATGTGTTAACATTCGATAACAGCCAAAACAATCCCTTGGCGCTAATGGCCCAATACCAAGTAAGTTCAAAGTACATTACAACATACTATTTTCATAATGGACATTTACAATGATTCTCTTGAAATATAGGCATGTTATGACATGTTGAGGGAATGCAGGAGATGGGGGGGGGGGATAATCAGGAAACTTTGACCTGAACCCAGTTTTCCCTTCTGTTGTATTATAAACATGTAGAGGTCTCTTTCCCCGTTCCCCACTTCCTTTTAACCATTACTTAGCTGCCATTTACTTCTTATGTCTCCTAAAGTCCTAATCAAGTCAGAATTCATTCTTAATTAAAAGAAATAATTTTCTGTATACTTAGGAAATCTGCCAATATGCAGAAGTTGCTGCTATATTTGTAGGTTGCCCCATTTCACTTACTCACTGACAGGCACTCTGCCATCAAACTTGCTAATAGAGGGAATAATTGTCACTTTCTGTCCCCGTATTAAAATCATTTGATTTTTACAAGATAAGGAGTCTTTCCTTCGTAAACTTTTATGGGATGAAATGGTGAACATTAAAACATTAATATGATGAAATATTGATTTCTTGATGTTGTATTTATAATCGGTATATAATGGCACTTTACAAAATTCTGAAACCCCAAAACTGAGGGGTCTCTGCCCACAAGGTATCAACAGTGGAAGGTTCGGCCAAAGACCTCATGCTACAGTTGAGGTTTCATTGACTGTTAATGCCAGGAAGGACAAGGAATCTCTATAGCATTCCCAAGTTTGCTTAGAGATATGTGGCCAAATGAAATGAAACCACTGTTTTTTTTCCTACAAGGAAAACCTGAGAATCATATTGATTCATATTGCTGAAATTGCCCCCTGCAACTCACTTTGAACACCAGTTCTCCTGTCCCCTGCCAAATGTAGCAGGGAGGGTACAGGTTTACTATAAAAACAAAAACTATTATTTCCCTTGAAGTTTTCAGCTAGTGGGTAGATGGTGATCTTCTGTCACAAGTGGAAGGGGAAGGAACTGCAGGTCGATCCCTCCTTTATTTGGAAAGGGTTTTCTGCACCTGTTGGCAGCAATGGCCGGGCATGTTGTTGACCCTGGCCTTAAAAATTCCAAGGGAAAACAAAAGAGCCACTTCCATTAAGTACTGTCAGGTTAAACGCTTGTATTGCCTTGAAGGTCTTAAAGCTAAGAAGTGTAATTTAATCTCCTTCTGAAGTCTCAGATTTTAAATTATGAGAACTTTGCACAAATGTTATTTCAGATTGTCACCGGCATTAGTTAAAATATCTGCAGAAATTTTCAAAAATCAGCTGTAGTCAGCTGAAGGAAATGAATCCTTGCTGAGTTTAATAAGTGCCAAACATCCACCCAGCATATGTATACTTTGCAGAAATCTCTCTCTATGGTGGAGCATGCAGTGGTTTCCTCTGTAAATCCAGCAGGAAAAACTAGTGTGTCCTCAGGTGCTTTTTTACTACTTTAGCTGTAATGTTGTTGACTGGCTTGAGTCTAAACCAAAAATTAATAGACTACTAGAAGCAGTTCAAGTTTGTTCCCCTTCCCTTGCTTTCTCTGCCCAGTTTTTCTATAGATAATTTGAGTGTAGTTTGTTCCACCCTTTCAAATTCCATTTGTACATTCCTGTCTGCTGTATGTTACTGCTGGGCAGTTTCCATTCGTTTCACATGCTTCCAGTGCGATCCCTGTTGAAATGATTGCTTAAGTGGTATAAGAACATATGAAGAGCCTTGATGGATCTGACCTAAGGGCCATCTAGCACAGTATTCCCATTTCTCACAGCGACCTACCCGATATCTCCAGGAAGCTCATAAGCAGGGCGTAGAGGCAGCCTCTGGAGATGGAAGCTCCATTTAGTCATCATGAGTTATAGCCATGGAGAAATTCATTTTCCATGGATTTGTGTAAACTTTTAAATCCTTTGCTAGTGTATTTGTGTTTTGTGGACTGAACTTTTTCACTTGTGTGGCAGCTGTTCTTTCTGAACAAGGATGCTTGTGTAGCGTAACTAGACATTCCATGATTTTCAAAAAGCAGAACTGCATTTTCTTTTGCCTGTTCCCCTAGTGAAAATGAGAACGTTGTGTGTCTACAATATACTTTCTTCTGTTAGTATGGGGAGTTATGAGAACATAAAGTTTTTAAAACACACTGGAAAATATTATATTTGTAGGCTGTAAACTGTGGTTGGGGTTTATATCAAGACTATTCATATCAAGATAATAAATAATGTTTTTATTAATAAGGATTCAGGTTTTAAAAAAATATTGAAACAAAAATAAATTACTGATGTTGGCTTTAAAAGTGATTGATCTGATGAATGAATCAGTGAAATAGGCTGCAGTTAGCATCGTTTGAATAGATGCACCCGTACATATTCATAAAGCAGTTTTTATGGTTGTTTATAGGAAAGCATATCTATCAATTCCTTCCAAAACAGATGATGCGCTTGTTCTGTGTAGACAAGTATTAACAGTGGCAGATACTAACAACAGTGACAACCAAGAATTATTAAGTTTAATGATGGAGACTCCAGGCCATTTTGATTAGCTTAAGCTTCATTTTGCTTCAGAAATGGCTTAATTATGCAACACTTCAAAACCACATTGGAATCTCGAGCGATAGTATAAAACTCTGTATTGGCTCCTTTGTCTTGACAAGGGTCTAAAATGGAGCGACGGAGTTAGGTCTGGATCCAAAGTATCTGCTCCACTAACAGTGTAAACTTCTTCTAGAGTGAAGGTGTAACAATTTCATGTTTATTTGTGTGTGTGTCTTTAAAAGTTTGGTTTACATTGCTGTGTGAAAGTCTAGTGTGGTTGAAACAGGCAAGTGGTGTGATTGGTGAGTGACAGAGAGGGGGAGGGGTTTTGGAATGGATGCTGTGTGGATGATTTGAATGTCTATCAGGAGTGACTGTTGGAGATTGTCAGTTGAGGAGAACAGAAAAAAAACAGTTGAGGCAGTCAGCATAGAGTGCTGTGTAAAAGTAGTTGATATGAGTTTTGTTCTGAGGTCTCTGTGAGAGAAGTTTTCCTGTGTGGAAAAAGAGTAAAAGTCTGGGTGTTAAGCAGACGGTTAAGTTCTGTGTATGAAAAAAGGAGAGACACATTCCTGTGTGGGATGAATTTGTTCTGTGTGATATCTGAGAGAGAGCGCAGCATATATCTTCAATAAGGAATCTTTAAAGTTCTGAAAGCAGTTAAATTTACAAAGAGATTAAACCGTGTGGTTGCCTAAGTAAGAGATTCCTGTCAGCACTAAAACTGACAGTGTGTGTGATACAGTTGACAAATATAGTTACAAGAACCTTATTCCCAGCCAGTTACATAATATCCAACCTTTAGTTTTGTTCCTCTTCAAATAAATCCTTTTTATTTAAGTTTATCCCAGAAGCCTGATCCATTATTCCTCAGGAAACACATAGTTCCTCGAAAGGCAAGACCCTGGGTCACAATACCAAAACCAGAAACAGAAAGTATAAAGGTTTGGAAAGCCTAAAATTTTCCTGGTGGCAGCCAGATACCCATAGGAAAATAAAACTAAAGAACACGTTTAAAGTAAAACTAGACCTCCCCAGAGAAGAGGTCGTCACAGAAGGCTCTTTAGGCCAGCAAAAAAACTCCTCTGTTAGCCAAATGGAAACTTGGGGTCCAGCTCATAGATATCTTTAGAGCAGAGGTAGCAATCGTACAACAATGTAAGCATCCAGTTAAGCAAGATAACTAAATATGTTCTGGGAAGTTTAATATGAAGTAGAAAGGTCTTGAGTTATCTGATCTGACAGTTGGATTTTTCTCAGAGAAGTCAAAGCTCCAAATAGTTATCTGCTGGATTTAACACACAGCCGTTGATACACATTTCTTATTTCTTCAGCCTTCTGGCTGTACAATAAAGTTTTGGTTTTAATTGCATGTACGACTGTGTGTAATACTTAAGAGGGTTTCATTCTTGAGCTTGATCCTGTTGTGTGTTTGGGATAGGAAAGGGCAAGAAGTTAGGCATAGACCAAGAGGTCCGTGAGGGGAAAAAATGCATTGTTTCTTGCAGTCTATTTTTCATCGTTTGAGTCAGACACATGAATAGAGACTGTCACACAGTGAATGAACATAAATAGAGCCATAGGTAGAATCAGAGGAGGGGGAGACAAGAATTGAAAAGCAGGAAAGAAGTGTTGCAATTGAGTGGGAAAATTCAAGAATGTAACAAAGGGGGGGGGGACCATGTAGTTAAGAAACAGATATTGAGGGTAAAGGTTACTGAAGCATATTTCCCGGTATGATTTCCAAGTTTTTCATTTTGTTTTTGAACAAAAGGTGTGTGGGGGAAAATCACAGCTGAAGATCTGTACCCTTAGTGGATCCTTGTGGAAATCAGCTCTTACTGACTGGCTTTCGAGCAAGGGAACCTTTACCTTAACAAGCTAACACATCTGCACAAAGGGGAGCCTTTTACTCTCCTGTGTTTCTCTGAATCCATGTAGGGACACTAAGGAGGCATGTTAGCAACACTGTTTATATTTGCATCATGACCTAGTTGTTTTTTTTAAGTTAAATTTATTGTATGTAACTGCACGGGACCTCTGTCGCCTCAGCACTGAACTTGAATATTCAGGATACCTGAATTCAGAGATATTGCGGGGGATCGCAGTTCCCCCGGGTGAGGTACGGGGGGCGGGGCACATGATGAAGCCCTGCCCCCTGCTTCCGGCCGCCCCGCTTCCGGCCCTCATTCAGCCAGGAGGAGGCAGGAGAAGAGGGAGGGTAAGTTGCTTCCTCCCTGCCTCTCCCCACCCCTGCCTGCCTGGGACCAGGGAGGGCCTTCGCGGGGCTTCCTTGCACTCCCGCCGGCCTTGCAGGTCCACCGCTGGGACCGTTGGGGGCGGGGTGTGTGGCCTTATGACACACTTCTGGTGATGTCAGGGGGTGTGGCATATGCTAATGAGTTATGCTAAGAGTTCCCCTAGCTCTTTTTCTACTAAACGACCCCTGCCTGAATTCAAGGCCCTTTTATTCAGCAGCCCCTTTCTCCAGTGTCTCTAAATTAGTGTCATGGCTCTTGAAAAATTTCTTTCTCCTTTTACCAGCAGTAGATTTAAACAAAGCAGCTTGGATCTTCCATGAATGGAGTGTGCTCGTGGACACTGTCCTTTTATATTTCCTCTTCCACCAGCAGCTCCTTGTATCCCCTGAAAAACTGTTACCAACTGTTACCAACAGCACTAGACCAGCTCTGCCTTTCAGCACCAGGGGCTGCAGTAGAAAAGGGGACTTGATAGAAATTGCCCTCTCTCTCTCTCTCTTGTGCAATCAGAGTATGATGGAGGGTGAGTTCTGCTAAACCCTTCTTCTTACTCTAGCACCCTGTGCTAAAAGGCATACTATTCCAGAAGGCCTGCTGACCCTTGGCAGTCCTTTCTCAGAGGATGGAGAAGTCGGTTAAAAAGAGGTTCAGTGAACTTCCTGTGTCTGCAGAAATAAAGTAATCCAACCCATATGAAGCAGCTTCCTGCACTGGCAGGGGTCAGACGGGCCCTTCTTTGGCCCTCAAAATGTTTGCTTCTTTCCATCAAATATGAAAATTGAGTTAGGGAGAGAGTTCTAACTGAAACAGAGCACTGCATACTATACAACACCATCTAGGAAAAGCTTGTATGATGGAAGTGGATGTCTGCTGGAAAACGTATCAGCATTCAAGAACTGCTTTAAATCAGCCATTGATGTCTTTAGTATCTGCTTTAAAGTTCTAGAATCCTACAGTTTATTGATAGCTGACCATGATAAAAATTTACGTGTTCTTTTTCCTCAGCAAGCTGACTTAATTTCCCTAGGGAAGGTTGTGTTGGCTTTGGCTTGCAATTCCTTGGCAGGAATTCAGAGGGAGAATTTACAGAAAGCTATGGAACTGGTGACAATCAACTATTCCTCTGATTTGAAGAATCTTATTTTGTAAGTTATTTGAAATGGGATACAGTCCTTTTCCCCTAAAGATTAAAATGTGATAATGACCATTTCCTTACTGTGTGTCACGTGTGTCCAGATGCTGTTATATGGTTATGTCTGTAGACTCTTCTCAGAAAAATTTGTGGGTGCATAATCTCTTCCATCATGATTACTTAAGTATCTGAGTAAGGCCCCTTCCACCATGTGGTAGGAATTCTTCTAGTAGTAGAAACGAGTGAGTTCCTGGCTGGGGCGGGTGGGGGGGGGTGACTGTAGGAAGAAAGGTAACACACCTACCTGATCAGGAGTATTATAACATTCCATAGTTCAACCACAATTGCAAAATTGTTCCCTAATATTAAAACTATCAGCCTTGTTTAAGTCTCCTTTTGTACTTAACCGAAAGCTTTGCAAATCTTCCAAATCCTTCATGTTTGCATACAACTGTTGCTGCTGCCACCTTCCAATATATATCCCACTGTACTGCATCAGCCACATTCAGCACCACCAAATGGTGATATATAACACATTACTGTCAATTTTATGTAACAGCTATGCAGTTTAGAGAGAATTACTGGTCCATGCAATTGGATAGCTTCAGATAAAGTATGGGAATATTGACAGCTCTGAATTCCAAAATGAGCCAACCAAGATGAAGCTTTAAATTCAGTTACCTTTTGCTGTAGTACTAGGATGAATATTTATATTCACAGGGAGTTAACCTCAAACTGATTCTTAGTGTAATACTGTTTTAATGCAGTAGTTAGCCTAGAATTAAGACAGTAGAAATAGAGCAGTGCTGTAGCTCAGTGGTCGAGGATGTGTCTTGCATACAGAATGTTCCAGCTTTTACCAGTGTCATCTCCACGTCTCCAGGTAGCGGGTGTCGGGAAGGACTTCCTGCGAGCTTTTAGCCCTGCACACGTATTACAGTGAACATGCATTTGTAAAAAAACAGCCAGTGAACTTTCATCTTAAAAATAAAACCGGAACCATTATCTGGATAAGTGTGGAGTTTAAATTGTGTGTTGTGTGTTTGGCAAAACACACCTTGAATATAGTGTAAAAATTACTGAACTTGCACCCAAAGTAAAACGTTTATGCTGTACATGTTTATTCACTGTAACATATGTACAGCTGGTCCAAGCAGGCAGTGGTCTGCCTTGGGATAAAGTAGTTTCATGTGTTCACATATGTCTATTAAAACATACTGCTCCATGATACTGCATGCAAAAGTGATAGCTCATTTTTATCATAGGCACAACTAGGTCATCTTCATTATAAACAAAAGATGCCCACACAAATGGTGATTAAAACAATACTGCAGCATTGTACAATAGAACCTAGTTCATCCTTTTTTTTGCTTTCTAGTTGTTAAATGTTAACTTTCAAAGTACTTAACTATAAGTCTTCACTGATGGATCCACTTCTTAAAGCATCTTTCGGAAGCCATGTTTTGAAGCATCTTGTTAAAAATTGTTTGCTGTAGGTATTTGCTGACTGACCAAAACAGGCTTCGAAGTGTAAATGATATCATGCCTATGATTGGTGCACGATTCTACACACAGTTGGATGCTGCCCAAATGAGAAATGATGTAATAGAAGAAGACCTTGCAAAGGTAAATTATTATCTCGTGTGTTGCACACCGCGTTTAAGTTCAGATGAGGTTACTGCCATCTTTATTATGTACTCTGTTCAATTACTATATTTGTATACAGGTAAAAAGGTAAAGGTTCCCTTGCTCGAAGGCCAGTTGTATACTGCTTTTCAAAAGGAATGTTTTCACCCACAAAGATTAAAATGACACACACAGACTAAGCAACAGTTAAATGAAAGCATAAAATGCATTAAAAAATTCCAAAGTATCAGTAAACACTAACAGGGAAAAAGCAAATAACCAGAAGATGATCAAAAATAAAAAGGTTATGTGATGTCTTCTGAATCGTATTTGCCATCAAATGATTTTTATCTTATGGATTTGTAGCACAAAGATTTATCTTTTGGAGCATGATTGAAAGTTGTGATGTATTCTGGAAAAGAAGGGCAAGCCACCAATTCAAACTAAAGATAGCAGGGAACATGTACTGTGAAGCTTTATCTGGCCATCATGGGGGATGAGGGTTGCTGGTTAATTAATTGTGCCGGATAACTCAATTTTCTCTGCCCTACCTCCTACCGAGAGGACTCCTTAGTGACAGACCCCCACCCCATTAATAACTCCATGACCAATGCCTGGCAGTTTGGCAGAACTCTTCCCTTCCCTCCCCCAAGCCATGGGACCATCCTGCACAGCAGGCAGACAAGTTGGGTACCTGCCCAGGAGTCCTCTGGTAGAGCTTGAGGCAGGCTGAGGGGGAAGGATGAGGCCAGCTGGGGACATGGAAGGTACAGTGCATGCATGATGGAAGGCACAGAGGTCTGGCGGCTGAGGGGGGAACTTGCCCTCTGGGTGATGCCATGTAACAGGGCATTCTTGATAATCAGGTGCCGGATAACAAAGCTTTGACTGTACATTGGTCTTTTCAAAATATCCTTTGACTCCTTACTCGTATTGTTTGAAGAGTCTCAGTGAGAAAAGTGTGGTTGCGGGCTTAGTCCTTTATGAGATAAAAAGGTGGTAGTGGAAAGCCTCTTGCTTTCCTAACAGAGAAAATCAGTACGAAACAAGAAGTTTCCTGGATGAGAAGTTATACAGCACTATGCATTGAAGAATCTTCGGTGTCTATGAAACGTAGTCTGATCGTAAAGTTCTTATAGTCCTTTGGTTTCATTGTTACATTTCTCTGTGTTATTTTTTACTTGCACTTGTGCAGACTTTTAATTTTTACATTTTTTTTTTTGTCTTCCAGGAAGTTCAGAATGGAAGATTATTTCGGCTTCTTGCAAAATTGGGAACAATCAATGAGAGGCCAGAGTAAGGAGAGCTCAGCGGTTTCAGCTTCACAACGCTGTATAAAGGGCACTCAGGGAGTCAGTGTTCATGTGTCTTACTGTGGACTTGCAAAGTCTAGAATGTGAAAGATGAACTGTGGGCTACTTCGATCAGTTTTGTAGCATTCAAGCCAGGACCTCCATGTATATAAATGGAGCCTTCGCACTTTATGGCACAGTAACATCCTGGCTCGTCTGGATACAGAGAATTAACTGGTTCAAGATGACATTTCATAAAGTCTTTGCAAGGCTTGAATTTTAATTTTTGAAATTCCAAACTATTAGTGCATCCTTGGAAGAGTGTTTTTCTCCTAACAGCAGAAAATATCTTCCAAGTGTTCTTGTGGAGGCTGAAAATATAATAATAATAATAATAATAATAATAATAATAATAATAATAATAATAATAATAATAATAATAATAATAATAATAATAATAATAATAATAATAATAATAATAATAATAATAATAATAATAATAATAATAATAATA